AAAAAAAAATGTCTTTTCAGGTTAAGTTGCTGGTGGCGGACACGAGGAGTAGTGTTGGTAAAACGAGAATGTTTAATTATTTATGTTTCAGCAAACATTTTCGAACATGCTTTAGTTTTTCATGTTTTGAAACCAAGGATGCTTGAGACTAAGATGTTTATCAATTTAGACTAAGTACTCGTATGTTCTGCTTTATCTTAATTGATTTGAAATGAAAGTAGGTCTCGGGATGTGATTTCCTGAAAGAACCTAAGTGAAGCTTAGGTTAAGTTTAATGAAAGAAAGAAAGACAGTTCTAGAAAGTGAAGACAAGACAAGTTTTTAGTAAGTACCCTAAGAAAAGTTTGTAAAAGTTTAAAGTATTTTTTAAAAAGTTTGAAATTTTCTTTAAAAAAAATCAGTGTTTTTTTAAAGATAAGAAGAGGATGGTTACAAGTTGGTATCAGAGCCAAGTTTAGCGATTTTGTATACGTATAAGTTTCAAAACATTGATCACTCGCCACCTTCGTGCCGCGCCTACCAAGGTAAGAGTAAGTAAGTAATTTCAGGTTATTCATGATCAGCATTCATGAGTATAGTTTGGGGCTCTATCCTCCGAGAAAGAACAGAGAACCCTAGTTAGGGTTTTTCGACTCTAAAATATGTTTGTTCAAGTCCTAAACCTTTCAAGTGCTTGTTGCTAGATATGTCGCCCCGGGTGTCACGAGCGCAACACCCAAGACCAACCCGAGACAAGACTTGAGCAGGCCCGAATGATGACCCACTTTTGGAACCTTCATCCCCCGATTTTCACATGCCAGGATGGACCCGCAACAGTGGATCCGTGGCTACTTGCGTCTGGAGTGCATCTTTCAGGTCTAGAGGATCTTCTGGAATGTTTATGTCACCACATCCTCTGTGCTTAGTTCCAGTTAGACGGGGAAGCGGGTGACATATACATTCCAGAAGATCCTCTAGGCCTCAAAGATGCTCTCCAGACGCAGGAGCCACGGATCCACTACAGCGGGTCCAAACAACTTCTAATATTCAATTTATCTCTTTTCTCCAACCAATTACAATTTTAAACAATACAAATGATACTGCTATTAACACTAACCATTGAAGACACAATATTTAAATTTCCATTCTCCATGTCATACAACACAATTTCCATTAGAGGGTGTGATTGTCTTGAAGACATGGCCAAGATGACATGGTTATGTTGCTTAAAACATTTAGAAATCTTAGGCTCATAGAACTTGAGTAAAAATTAGGACTTAGGCTAGAAATTGGATTTTTGACTGTAGGCAAAAAAAATAATTTATGGCCGAGCTTAGCTTATAAAAGTTTTCGAAAAAACTTAGACATGCTAAACTTAGCTTTAGGAGGAAAATAAAAATAAAAGACAAGCAGAATAAGCAATTAAGAAACAAATAAGCAGAATAAGCAATTAAGAAACAAATAAGAAAACTAAGTAGACGAAAACATCTACTTAACCTTCAAATTTATTCGGCAAATTAAATAGACGAGAACATCTATTTAATTCGATTTTTAGATTAAACGATTTGACTTACACAAAGTCGAGCTAAGAAATGAAACACAAGTGCTATGCTTATGCTCTTACTGAAATAAACGTTCAAACAATAACACCCCAAACATTGCTTTGGCACAAAAAAGTAAAATAAAATAAAAATAAAAATAAAAATTGGGCCACACGGATAATGCCCTGTTTATTTTGAAATTATTTTGTGCATTTACAAATTGTATTTCTTTTTATTTAGGTTTGTGGTCGTGTTGGTACAACACTGTTCCGCTTGGGTTAAAAAGTTGCATTGTAAATTGATTAATGTACAATAGTCTGAATCCTAAGTGCTCTGCTTGTAGGATGGCCTTTGTTGCAGTCATTTGGCTACCCGGTCGTCCTCTGTATTTTAGTTTAATTTAATTTTCTTTGATGTGGAAAACAAATGATTAATGAAACTATATTATATCTTGTGAAAAAAATGATTCCTCATACCATAGAAATTTTAAATTTAGAGGACGGCATTCTAATGGCGCATGTTTAATATTGAGTGAGGGATTAGATGCTTCTTGTCAGGCAATTACCTCTCAGCATTCACAAGAAAAAAGAGAAATTATTGAGCAATCAGTTTGGAGTACACAGCAGCAGTGGAAAACAGCATCTTTTAAAGGCACAGAAGGCACAACTGGGAAACTCATCTCCCTCCCAAATTCAAATACTTTCCTGTGTCACAAAATCAAGATGGACTAGGGGGAGGGGAGATTTTGGTGCCAGCAAAATACAGCAGCTCTTACCACATATGCACAGCTTTTATGTACTTCAAAAACGGGTATCTTCACCGTCTCCAATTAACCAAATTTACTTTTATCCATCAGCTTTATCCTGTCCAGTAATTGCTGAATCGTAGTAGTGGCTTCCTGAGTACAAACACCATATCTGAGTTGCGACAACAAATTTCAACTAAAGATGCTAAAAAGAAGGAAAAGGAAAAAAAAATAAAAAAAAAAAGAACCTTTAATTTCATTCTCAAATTTTCTTCCTCGTTGTCACGACGCTGTCTCTCTTCTGAAAATATATCAATTAAACTCTCCTGCTCTGCTTTTAGCTCCTCATACTTCTGTGTTTTTTCCTGCAGCTGGTCAAATGAGGATGATGTCAGTTTACATACAACACATCGGAGTTAGTAAATAAACTAAGTTTTAGCATTGCTAAATACGACCATAAATTATTTATAATATTCAGGTAACACCGAAGTCAAGGTTCCTTCTTTTCTTTTTGTCAATTTAATGGGAATTTTGGCAGGTTCCGGATTCTGCTTAAATCACACTAAGGCTGTGTTTGGTAAAACTAGCTGATAAGCTAGCTGATAGCTGACAAGCTAGCTTATAGCTTATTAGTAATTTTCGAGCTTATAGCTTATAGCTTATGACTTATAGCTGAAAAGCTAGTTTATTTGATAAAAGTGTTTGGTAAAATTAGCTGATAAGCTAGCGGAAATAAAAATTTCAACGAGCTTATTTGAAAAGCTACCAAAAGAAGCTTATCAAATAAGCTCGAGCTTTTTAAATAAGCTCGCCCTACCAAACGGAGCTTATTTAAATACAGGGAGCTTATAAGCTAATCAAATAAGCTATAAGCTAGCTTATTGGTCTACCAAACATAGCCTAAATTTTGGATTACTAGCTAATCAGAGCTAATTGTATTTAATATTGGAGTTGCGAATTTATAACTGAGCACCAAGGCAACCAATGCATTGCATATAAGAACTGGTCTTTTCAATATCAGATATGTCTGCAAAGTGTTGCTGCATTTTTTACACAAATTTTTATTTTGCATCTCTAAGTAACCAATATAAACTTTTGACAGTAAGAAAATATAATTTAAGTCAACAATACCAACTTTCACAAAAAAAAA